CACCCCTCGTTCACAGTGGGTAAGGCACCCCTGGTCCACAGTGGGTAAGGCACCCCTGGTTCACAGTGGGTAAGGCACCCTGGTTCACAGTGGGTAAGGCACCCCTGGTTCACAGTGGGTAAGGCACCCCTGGTTCACAGTGGGTAAGGCACCCTGGTTCACAGTGGGTAAGGCACCCTGGTCCACAGTGGGTAAGGCACCCTGGTTCACAGTGGGTAAGGCACCCCTCGTTCACAGTGGGTAAGGCACCCCTGGTTCACAGTGGGTAAGGCACACTGGTTCACAGTGGGTACGGTCTCCCTGGTCCACAGAGGGTAAGGCACCCCTGGTTCACAGTGGGTAAGGCACCCCTGGTTCACAGTGGGTAAGGCACCCCTGGTTCACAGTGGGTAAAGCACTTGACTACTAAGCCAGAGGTCAGTGTCAGCAGCGGCTGTGCAGGAGAAAGCTTTGGGCACCTACTTCATAAGGACTACAGCTTCAGAATCCCTCGGATGTGGTGCTGCCCTGCCCGTAGAGCTGCTGGGGCAGGACCCCCCTGATGACGGGGCCGGGGACCCCCATCTCGCTCACTAGCCGTGAAAAGGCAACAGTGATGTTGTTCATTTGAGGATGGTAACTATGGTGACACACAGCGTGTTGGGAAGCAATTATGCACAAAATGCTTTTCCTTTCCTCTCTCGAGGATCGGAGATTTCCGTGGGAGAGATGGAGTTGGTGGGGAGTGGGATCTTGGTAGATTCTGCAGGAAGGAAAGCTGCGTGGGCCATGAAACGCCTGGAAGTGGAGGCAGAACACTGGGAGATCGCGCTTGCATGCTGGTGTGAATCAGCAGCTCAATTCAGTGCTGTCAGGTGGGAATAGCCTCACTGCTGACCCTCCAGTGGGTTTCCGGAGGCTGCACACTGTGTGAGTTGAAACTGCCTATGTTTCTCCCACGGAGCAGCCGGTGGATTTGAACCACCTGCCTTTTGGTTGGCAGGGCAGCTCCATATTCAAATGGAGGGAAATCAGTTTCTAAAAAGGCAAAGCGGCCAAACAATGTAGGTCAAAGTATCCAAAGAGAAATTCTGATTCAGGTGCCTCTTGTCCAGGGCTCTCTATATCACCAACTGTCCTTTGCACCCTGAATTTTGAAAAAAATGTTAAGATGTCACAGCCTAAGGAACATCTACGAGCCCTGAGCTGCCCCACCTCCCTCGGGCCATCCAGAGTCTCTCGGTTCCCACTGTACTGACCCCGTCTTCAGAGAGGGGCACCGTGTGCACAGGGACAGGCTGCCAGGCCAGGCTGGGATTCCAGACGCTGGGGCCTTTCGGGGGAAACAGGGCTGCGAGGTTCGCCAAGGCACTCATCAAAGTCCGGTCAACGTCCGTACTTCGAATGTAAACCTAGGACAGAAAATCAGGCAGAAGCCCATGAGCCAGACGGTGAGTTCTTTCCTTACGGGGCTATCGGGATCTAGGAGTAAGCACCGGGCACCAAGGCCAAAACAGACCATGCAGTAACGCCTGTGATCACAAGATCTGCTCTAAGAGGCAGTTTGTCACAAAAGAGACCAGTAGTTGAAATGACAAGAGACTGACTGAGAGACGGCTACTTGATGTTGTTAGATGCCATAGAGTTAACAGCAGCTCACAGCTACTCTCCAAACGAAGAGAAGCCTTGCCCTGTGGGCCACCGCCCTGCTCCCCACCACACGCAACTCCTGGCTATGGTCACTGCCAGTCCAGCTCACTGGGGTCTTCCTCTCTTTCTTTGACCCTCCCATTTCCTCAGCATGCTGTCTTACAGGTTTTAACAACATTTTGAATCTATGAGCTTTAGGAACAAAGTAAATGCATAAGAAAGGGTACATTTATAAATAATACTTCGGCTTTGTGTAAGTTCCTTCAGAAAAGGCAAAGAGATTTTACGTTGTTTAACATTATGTTAAATTCTTACAAAGGTCAGTATTTCCACACTTAGCTCTCCAACTTGCCTGTTCATGTTTATAAGACTCGTTCAGAAAGTTTTCATATCTTCTTCGCATATATTCTCCAAGTTCGTAATGCTGCTCTATCCCCACCTAGGGTAAAAGGAAATGAGAGCTAGTGTAAACAGGTTCTGTAAATAAATGAGCAAATACATTTGCCACTGAATGTGAAGAAGGAACTACTTGTACTTCAGTCAAAACAAGAGTTGTAAGTTTTAGCTGAAATTCCCTGAAGAAATGCACCTGTTGACACCCACCTTCATTAGCCCTCGGCATCCCCTGACACATGCCCAGAATCCCAAAGTTAGTGCTGTCAAAACAGTCTCAACTCAGTGAACCTACAGGACAGGGAAAAACTGTCCACTTGGGTTCCTGAGGCTTAAAAAGAGCAGACAGCCCACTTTCTTCCCAAGGAACAGCCGATAGATTCGAGCTACTGACTTTCCAAGTAAGAGTTAAATGTGCAGTGCATTGCTACACCACCAGCGTTCCTCCATCTTCCACTTAACAGGTGCCTAATGTGTCGGAGAGCTGGACAGTGACTCGGGATGATAGAAAGAGAACTGGTGCCTTTGAGCTGCGGTGCTGGAGAAGATTGCTGTGTATACCATGGACTGCCAGAACAAATAGGTTCATCCTGCAGAGTCCTGGTGAATCCAGGCTGCTCTTTGGAGGCAAGAATTGATTCCGAGGCTTCATCGGACATACTTTGGTCATGTTGCAAGAAGGAACTGGTCCTTGGAGAGGGACATCATGCTTGGAATGGTGGAGGGATGGAGAAAAAGAAGAAGACCATCAATGAGACGGATTGATGCAGTGACTGGGATAAGGAAGGTAGGCGTGTCAGACAGTAAAGTTGGCACAGGATAGGGCAGGTTTTAAGGCTATTGTACATAAGGTTGCTATGAGTCGCAGGCGACTCCATGGCACAAAACAACAACAACAACAACAACAACAAGTAAGTGGCCATTGATCTGATTTAAGCAAATGGCTCGTCTCCGATGTGGTAACGAGATCCTTGTGGGCACAGCATTCACTTGTATACATTGGGGTCAGAACTGACCCGTAGCTGGCCCTCCAGTGAGTTTTCAGGGACAGTGAACAGTGCAGCAGATACCGAAGCATTTGCTAGGGCCGGCCACATTTTGTGGAAGAATTCAATCAACTAATGGGAGACCTCTGGTTAGCAGTGCAACTTAGGCAAATTAGGCCAGAGCTCCCTATGTGCTCCACTGCTGTTGTTGTTGTTATGTGCCATTGAGTCATTTGCGACTCATAGCGACCCTATGTACAAGAGCCCTAAATGCCGTTCTATCCTGCACCAACCTTGCTGTCTCAAACACACTCATTCCCACCACTCCACTCATAGAATAGATCCATCTCATCAAGGGTCTTCCTCTCCCAAACATGATGTTCCTCTCCAAGCACCAGTCCCTCCTTGCAACATGCCCAAAGTATTTCAGATGAAGCATCAGAATCCTTGACTCCAAGTAGCATTCGGGCTTCACCTTCTCCAGGACAAACCTGTTTGTTCTCCTAGCAGGCCATGGTATATTCAACACTCTTCTCCAGCACCACAGCTCAAAGGCATCAATTCTCTTTCTATCAACCCTATTCACTGTCCAACTCTCTGATGCATA